ATTTTTTCATATTTATTTATTCTTAACCAGGAAGGTTTGTACAGTATTATTTAAAAACTGACAACCTCATACAGAGATTAAAAAAAATAAAAATCCAAGAACTTTTGTCCACGTCACAATCCAATTATATGACGACATGCCATAGCCCCATGTGGGCCATTTAACTGCGCTCTGACAGGCTGGTTGAAACAGGTAAAAAGTTCAGGTAAGCTTCAGATGGACTACTGCCAGAGATCCATCAGCCCAAATGGACGTTCATTCAGCCGCTGCGCTCAGCGGACACCGCAGTCGATGACTCAAACAGGTGAGATCCCAAAATATCCGACATGTCAGAGCAGGGTCCGTGTCTGAATAATGCAGAATGCAGCAGAAGCAGGGATTTAATGCGCTTTGACGGCCATTAAAGGACAAACACCCACTCAGCCGTGCACGTCTGCCGACTGTTAACTATATAAGCAGTAGGAATGTGTGATATAAACCGTACACGGTAGAAACGATAGACATTCAGCCTACGATAGAGATCTGTCTTCTATCGGCTAACCACAGTAATGATGTGTAAAATCAGAGTTTTCAGATTTAATCCTTACTTTTTTAGTTGAAAACTGTGTAAGTGGAGTTAAAGTATTTTCTTCGAGAGCTAAGTAGTGAAGCTACAAGCTAACTGCGGCCGGCTTGCCGTAGTGTTGCCGTATTCGGACGCATGCGCGAAATGCTGTGTTCTGTCAAAAGGTTTTTATTTTTTTCCGTTGAAAGTTAAAGTAAGTGTTGGTCGTCTTTAGAGAAACCTGATCTATGAAAAGAACGATGTGTTGTGTGATTTTACTGTGAGACCCTCTGGTCAAAGCCACAGAGGAAACTGGTCACCATTTTGTGTCAGCTCTCCTTAAAGCGGAAGGAGTCGCCCACTAGAGGGTTGGAGGGTGAAGTGTTTCAGTGTAACATGCTGCTCTGTTGCTGTTCATTTATTGAAGTCAGAGTCAGAGTCAGAGTTTCTTTATTGTCATTCGCACCTCATGTGGTACATGTGGTGGAGCGAAATTATGTTCACAGGGTCCCAGTTACATCCAACAATAAAATGTATAAGAAAAACAGTAATAACATCTAAGATATGAACTAAGAAAAACATCAACTAAATATACACTAAGCACTCATAACATAAAAACATTGAACATCAGCACAAACATGAACATGAGTCTGTGAGCAGATGTGCACGCATGAACACATCAACATTGAAACAGATCAGCAGCAACATGAAACAGATCAGCAGCAACATGATATGGTTTTTCACAGTGATTATTCTAGTTAGAGATTCATGAGTCTAACAGCCTCAGGGTAGAAGCTGTTCCTCAGTCTAGTGGTTCTACACTTAATGCTCCTTAACCTCCTTCCTGAGGGGAGTGGGGCAAAAAGTGTGTGTGCTGGGTGAGTGGGGTCCTTCATGATGCAGGTGGCCCTCTTCCTGCATCTGGAGGTGTAGATGTCTGTGATGGTGGGGAGACTGACTCCAACATCTTCTGTGCAGCCTTCACCACTCTCTGCAAAGCTTTTCTTTCTGCAGCTGTGCAGCCTCCATGCCACACGTTGATGCTGGAGCACAGGATGCTCTCCACTGCACACCTGTAGAAGGAGGTGAGGACTGAGCTTCCCAGACCAGCTCGCCTCAGCCGTCTGAGGAAGTAGAGTCTCTGATGA